TGTTCACTTTCTGTACAGTGAAATTTATAACAGGCTTATACAGGGCGATTCTCAATTGTGTACAGTAAATTGCAGGGTGTATTGCTGGAAAAATTCGTAGGCAAATGTTGATATGGCAAATGTCGGAATCCACTTAGTTTCATAGGTTGAGGTAATGATAGTGAGGTTGGAGTGAAACAGTTGTGGATTTTTTGTAATTTTATGAACATAGCTTTACACAATGTGATACACTTGCATTATTACAGTAATTATTAAAAATTCCCTTCCTCTGCCTCTATCACATTATCTAGAGAACCCAATAAACAGCATACAATAGGTAAGTAAATAACAATGCACCTTTTATACTGTACTCATTAAGAACCTGGCTATGGTCAGTGGAAGCAGCTTTATGGTAGGAGTACACTAACTTGTGTTGATGATACTTTATTCACCATTTTGTAGTGGAAAGTGAAATTTTATACATGACAAGGTATTGAAAGACTACTGGGAGGGGATCTCCAAGGTGCTGATTGTGAAATGTAATATGTATGGATACTCAGACTGACTTCACAAGATGACTTAAGAATGTTGACATTGTTTACAGGAACAGCTGAACAATGAGGATCAGATGAGCAGCTCACAAGGACTTTTGGCAGCAGTGAGGGTATCTACCAGTGGAGGGAAATTATACCATTTCCCTTCACATAACAGTGGTAGTGAGAGTGAAGCAACATCAGTACAAAAACCTGCATCATTCATTCCAAGAAAGCCATATTTATGTACTCAGTGTTCATATCAAACTAAACATAAGCACCACATGACATATCATCAGCGCACCCATACTGGAGAAAAGCCATTTTTATGTAAGCATTGCCCTGCCAAATTTACTAAACAGTCCCAGCTTACCCAACACCTTAGAACACACACAGGAGATAAACCATTTTCCTGCCCACATTGCCCTGCTTGTTTTGCCAGAAAATCCACCCTCAAGCATCATATCTTCTTACATACAAATATGCAGCCCCATGCCTGCCAGTTTTGTTCATATCAAACAAAGCAGCTATATCACTTAAGGAAACATTTGAAGACACACATGTCAGGTAAAATATGAAAAATGAGTGAGATTTTCTTTGAACACTATTTGTAATTTCCAAAAGTGAGTTGTAGGTAAAAGTTGTTCATTACTAAGTTAATTAAAGTGATTCTATAGTGTTTATTTTAAGTAAGCTGACTGATCTCTTGATGAAAGTACTGTACAGTACTGTATTTGTAAACAAGGATAAATGAGAAGGTAATGTTGTATTCAAGAGTTCTGACATTAAAAAGTAAGAGCGAGTTAGAAAATATGTCATTAGTTCAGTTATATAGAGTGACGTTATAGTGTTATTACAGTACTACAGTAGAACGTCGATTTAAAGCGATTCAATTTAAGATTATTTATCTAAAGTGACACCCACAATTAAGGACAATGTTTTAATTTAAAGCGAATCATTCCTGTTTTGTGCGAGTCAATCTAGCACATCATATTTAAAATTTTGCGCCTAATGTTTCTCTGGGCACACTACACTGTCCTAAGGGCAAAGCTGTATTGTACATGTACTCAAAATAATGTACTAAATGATTACTAAAATTTTTGTCTAATACAAACTATAGCATGTTTATATTCAAATTAATCACTATCTTATAAGAATTCCAGCAATGTAAATTATATTCTCCCCGGTCACTTCTGTGACATTTTATAAGCAAAAAACATAAACTCACGTTAAAGGACATGAATAAACAAATAAATACTTCACTAGACCTTTGGATCCAATTGTCAAACATGTCACTGTCACCCCCCCCCCCCTTCTTCCCAGCCAGGGTTTGGTGTTTTAGGCTTAAAGTTTTCATCTTATATCTTACTTACTTTTACTTTTATCCTCTTCACCACTGATCGGCTCGTTAGCCGCTTGGGCAATCGGTCACGTCTCTGTTACTTTTCTTTTTCTTTTATCCTCTTCACCAATTGATCGGCTCGTCTCTGTTACGCACTGTTGTTAAGTACTGGGCATGCACCGGCTCCTGAATGTACCTGAACCTACTCCAGTGTTGGTCAAGTCTAGTCTTGAAAGAGATCACACTCGGTGCCGTCACAACACTTTCTAGTACATTGTTCCAAGAGTTCACAACTCTCACTCTGAAAAAGTTTGCCCTCACAGTTTTCTGGACCTGCAGCTTCTTCAATCTTGAACTGTGACCCCTTGTGGGGCGAGCATCTGCCAGCTCCAAGTAAGGACACTTGACTGAGTAGTGCCCTTAAGATGCTTATACACCTCTATTAGGTCACCCCTTGCCCATCTGTGGTATAAGCTAGGCAAGTTCAGGCGCTCCAATCTCTCAGGGTAGCTGAGGTGCCGAAGTGCAGGCACCAGTCTGGTGGCCCTCCTTTGAACATTTTCAACCAACTGACAGTCCCTAGCATATCTCGGGGACCAGACAGGGTGACAGTACTCCAGATGGAGAAGCACTTCACTCTTAAAGATCGTGGACCGTCTAGATATCTGAACGACCTTCTTATAAGACCCAATAATTTATTTTCCTGATTTACCTTCTTCTCGCAGTGGCCCGAGAACTTCAGCTCATTATCAACATACACACCTAGGTCCTTCTCACATTCAGTCTCAAATAGTGCAGTTTCTTCATCCCGTTGGAACATATGATACGCCTCCTTACCATTGGTACGCCCTAGGTGCATCCTCTTACACTTTGTGACATTGAATCTCAGCAGCCATTTATTCGACCATTCTTGGAGCTCACAGAGATCCTTCTGCAGCTCTTCACAGTCCGCATGGTTCTTGATTTCCCGAAATAACTTGGCGTCATCGGCAAACATTTTTATGGAGGAGTGTACAACGTCAGGCATGTCATTTATGAAACAAACAAACAACAGCGGGCCAAATACACTGCCCTGTTGTACCCCGCTTGTGACAGATGTGGATGATGATTTCATGTTTTTAATAACCACACACTGCTTGCGGTCATGTAGAAAGTCTTCTATCCACGCTAGGACATTTCCCCTAATTCCGTACCCTTCCAGTTTGATTTTCAGCCTTTCGTGGGATACACTGTCAAAAGCCTTGGCAAAATCTAGGTAAATATTGTCGATATTACCACCCTGTTCCAGAATATGGGTCCAAATATCCAATGCCTTGAGCAATTGCGTTAAGCAGGAGCGCCCCGGCATAAAACATGTTGGCAATCCTTTACAAGGTTGTTTCGTAGTAGATGTTCCATCGCGGCATCTCTCAAGTACTTTACAGATAATGTTGGTCAGGCTCACCGGTCTATAGCTGTTCGTGGAGTGACGATCGCCCTTCTTGAAGATAGGACTCACATAAGCCACTTTCCAATCACTGGGGACCTTTTGTTCATTCAGGCATTTACAAAACAGGAGCTTCAGGGGCTCGGCAAGTTCGTTGCACAACTCTCTTAGCACTCTGGGGTGCACCAAGTCAGGGCCGGGACTTTTATGGACCTTTAGCTTTGACAGTTCATTTCTAATACCCTCTTCTGTGAACACAATGTGGGTCAGTGCTGTGTCGAACCATCTGTCCTCAAATGCAGGTAGGTTAATCGCATTCTCTCTTGTGAACACCGAGGAAAAGAAGCTGTTCAATGCCTCAGCTTTATCCAGGTCAGAATCTGCATAACTACCATCTTCAAGCCTCAGGTCTGATACTCCTACTCGCATTTTTAATTTCGACTTTGCATAGCGGTAAAACGCATTTGGGTCTGACTTTATCTCGCTTACAACCAGCCTCTGGAACTCATTTTCAGCCCTTCTACACTCTACCTTTGCTTGGTGTCTGGCTATTGCATACATCCTCCTGTCCTGCTCATCGTTTGACCCAACCCACATATTGAATTTCTGGATTTTCTTCTTAACTTTGTCGACCGCCGCATGGTTCATGTGTAGGGATCCCCTCATACTCCTAGAGGCACTGGGTTTGGTCTTGGGTATGTATTTATCGATCAAATGGGTCACTTTATTAGTTATGATATTCAGCGTAGTGTCTGAGTTCTTGTGCCTTAATGAGTCAGGCCTGTGGATACCCCTCATCTCTTCCCTCATCCCGTTGTAATTTCCCTTGTAATATTTGCACCTTGGCCTGGCCTTATCCTGAACTAGGTGACAGTTAAATCTGAATGACAACACTATATGGTGACTGGTGCCAACTGGGGCAAGGTGTTACAGTTTGGCCACAATACCCTCCTCGTTTGTTATGATGAGGTCTAGTGGCTTGGGTGTTTGCTCCCCCCTGTAATATGTCGGGTCTCTATCATGTTGGAACAGAAATTTATCTCTCAGAGTTTCCATAAAAAGAGTAGCAGGGTTATTCAAGTCATTTGGGGTGAACTAGTTTCTCCAGTCGATGTCACCATATTTAAAGTCCCCCATGATAAGGAGGTGGCCAAGGTTGAGCATCGCCGCATTGTCTATTAAGGCTCTTAAGTTCCTTTGATTTAGTGGGCCACAGTTTGGGGATCTGTAGATACACCCGACGATTAATAAGTCCCCTACCTTTAATTTAATTTTACACCACTTGGACTCTTCAAAATCATCCTCTCCCTGTACCCTCGCCTGGCTGGCTCTAAGGTCTTGCCTAGCATAGATAACCACACTCTTCTTGCAAGTTTCTTGAGAAAGGTTCGTAAATGAGTCATATCCGGCAATGTCACAGACTAAAGTTAGGAGAATATAATTTGTATTGCTGGAATCTTTAAAGTCACTCTAAGGATAGATAATTAAATAAGCACTAGACCTTGTCATCAACTGTCAAACATATCACCTCACCTCCCTCCCTCCCCCCCATCTTCCCAGCCAGTAAACAAACCATTTCACATCCCATAATTTTAGCTGTGTTGATTTATGTTTGTTTATTTTATCATAATACTACAAAAAGCAATGTTTTGTTTATTCTAGGAGATAGGCTGAGGTGCATCTGGGTAGACTGTCAGTCTTTTCAGTATTTTGTGTTTCTCTCAAGTACCAAACTAAATTATTCCATTTAAACAACACTTCGATTTAGTGTGAATTCGGTTTAAAGCGACCTCTCTTGGACCGTATCTCACATTATATTGATGTTCTACTGTACTGTGTTTTAACAACTAAGGTCTTTAAGCATGTAAGAATATTAATACTGTAATTATATTAGTCCTTCAACAATTAAAAATTACAGGAGATGGCATTATTTGTATACTGTATCATGTACAAGACACTCCCCGGTTTACGGAAATGTTCCGTTCCTGGACCTTATCTGTAAGCCGAATTTTCTGTAAACCGAAAATGACCTTTCATTAAGGTAAACATGTACTGTACCCTGTACTGAATCACAGATGGCATCTCACAAGGGGATGCGCTCACCTGCCTTTCGCATAATCCTCCACAAATACTTTAGTGTTGTTACGCCGTACTAGTTACCTTCCGTTATAACAGAAAATCTTGTGCAACCCAAAAAATTTTATAATGGGACTTATGGGAGCCATTCTGTATCCTCAAATTTCTGTAAACTGAGTGTTCTGTAACCCAGGGAGTGTCTGTATACTGCATTATATAGGTAAAATACTTGTGGAGAGTTGTCAGGATAGTACAGTAGATTTTTAATGAAGGAACCTGAAGGAAATGTCCAGTTTATATGTCGTCCTTCACAAGTTTTCACAACTGGATGACTTATTTAAAATTCATGTTCTACTCAGGTCTGAGTATACAAGGTGTATCACAATCCCATGCTATCACTTCAGGGCCTAGGGTCATTATCAGACAGAAATGTAATATGACCATTGCTCCAATTCCCATGGTTACAAAGCTATACTATGGGGAGATGTATGTACTATAATCAAGGGAATTAAAACAATATGACAAATAACAAGCATTGCTATCACATGACCCATACACAAAGTGCATACCTGCCGGTACATGTTCCTCATTCGTGAGTGTCGTATCTCTAGGCAACTCATGTGCACACCTTGACTGACTGCACTCATTGCTAGTGTAAGCACTACTGAGACTCTAGCTTTCATTATGATGCTTTACGGTTCATAAGGACAATCTTAATTTTTGAATCGATTTCATATAGCTTATAGTACTGTACTGTACTGGCAAATCAGGCTGCACTGCAAAAGAATAGGAGAGGTAGATACACCTGATGCTATGTGACACACATCTCTCACATGTAATTACTGTACTAGTTCTCCCCATAGTTCCATAACCATTAGGAATCAAACCAATGTTCATATTACATTTCTGACTGGTAATGACCCCAGGAATTAGTCCCTGATGTTATGACGTGACATTGTGATACATCCTCTGTACTGTACAGTATTGGTATGTCATTTCAATAATCATCTACATAATTTTTCCCCTTTAGTACTTTAATCATAATCAATATACTGTACTGCATAGGAATTATCGTGAAAGCTGACATCACTCCAAAAAGCTTGGTGTTAAACTTCTCCACCAGCTACTGATGCTGTTTATGAAAATACCTGTACCCTGTCCAAGTATTATGAAAAACAAATGAACTCTAAACCACCACATTACATAAATAATGCTTCTTATTAAACTCATCCATAACTCATATAAAAGCCTTCAGGTCACAGAAGCCTCATACACAAACTTGTTCTGATATAATTAATGATGACTGAGCAACCTTTTGAAATAGGTAGTACTGTATGTGAGAGACTTGTTGAGTTAGTGAATCATACTGTGTGGAGTTTAGTTTACAGTATAGATACATGAAGGTTGCCAGAATCCTCTCTGGTACCTTGTAATGCTTTTATACTTTCTAATCAGAGGCTATTGATTTTTTTTATGGAATTTGTCATAAATTGTTATCATATTAGTTCTGATCAGTTATGTCCTGTTGTAATGTATATTCAGGTCATCATTTTACTTTTAATTCCTAGTCTAATTTTACTCAGTTTCAGCTGGAATAAAATTATTTGCTATACAGTATCCTCACCTTTTTATTTTTTGCATACTGTACTGTAAAGTACGACCTCAACTCCGTCAAATACTTTTATCAACAACTACTTCCTTGTTTATTAAGTCAAGAGTACAGGGAGGTTTCTTCATTTACTGGTAGCATTAACATAAGTGTTATAGGGACTGAGGTCATAGCCAAACATCTCAAAATCCACCTTGTATATCTCATACAGCTTCACCAGTTGTGTTCTATCAATTTGGGAAAATAATAATGCTTCAATATTCTGGGCAGACTTGTGATCTTGGTCTCTCTTAGAATGAGTCATCCTGTCAAGATTTCCACTGCTGGCTTTCTTGCTGTGAATATGGTCATGGGTTTTGGCTCTGTGATTATCAGGCACCTTGTGGAAGTGAGGAATGGGGCCACTAAGGTTGGTTGTGTGGACATAAAGAGGTTTGAGGCCCTCAAGGTTGGTGATATGAACAAGGTACTGTGTCTCCTCGTCCATTGCCTCCAGGTGAAGGATGACAGAGTAGTGGTGGTGGCAGGGAGTGCAGACGAGGTAATAAGGACGCCAGTGCTCATTGTAATCCGATGCAGGGGTAGAGACCAGATACTCTACGAATTCCCAGAAAGTGGGCACGTCTATGTACTCTGGCGGCTGTGGTTTGTTGCGATAGTGTTGAATGATTGGCATCCCATACAAGTCCCTGAACTTTTTGAATTGGTGGTATTCCCACTTGTTCTGTAGCTTGTCTCTGTAATACAAGACGTCTTTAATAATTAAGACTTTTTTACTAATTATGGTAGAACAAGCAACTGTGTTTACATATCTGTACATTTATATCACGATGAATGAACTAAGAATTACTGATCTTTAGCTTCTCAACTTTATTGTATTTGATACAACTAATTAACTGCAACAGCTTATTTATTAGCTTAAAAAAATTGTGTAAAGATTCTTGAATAGTATGTAATTAAAGTTTTTGTTAGTGTAGTGTCTTGCCCATACCACTGGCCACCATTCCTGGAGATCTTTTATAACTCAACCTCCAGATCATAAAAAAATACAGTACAGAAAGCATATATAAATTATAAGTACACTACTGCATTTTACTGATCAACTGCAGTTGAAAGAGTTCCCTCGGAGTTGTACCTGTAGGCTGAAAGAATTCTTTGGAAGGGGTGTCTGACAACCATGAAGGTGGTACAAAAGGAGACATCCTCTTGTAGTGCTGGGTGAGGCATTAGGTGTCGCAGACGGGTGTGTAACTGCCCTCTGGGTATTTCATTAATCAGATGCTCCTGGCCCAGTACCCGCAAAAGCCCATGCACCAGTGATGTTGATGCCACCTTTGGGACCTTATGGAAAAGTACAAGCTGGGAAAAACTAGTACTTTATAAAAAATATGTAAATCACTAAAACTGAGTCAGAGTGACTGCCCTCCATTATACAAGTGTGAATGTATGTACAGTAAACCCTGTTTTTATAATGTTTTGCTTAACCATTGCTGACATAACATTAGGGAACAAATTGCGATTAAAATTGTATTGTTTCTTTTTTTTCAGTACACACTGTTTTATTATTTAATCTTATAAGAATGGTGATGACTGTGTGATCATTATTCGCTGGATGAGGAAACATTGAAACAAGTCATAAAAGCGTTTGAATCTTGCCATAGACCTCTGATTTACACCATCAGAGGTCTGGGAACAAACAAAGAATCACTCCAATTCTATGTGAGAGCCTCACGGCTTGTGGAAGCTACTCCACCTCCACCAGCATATTCCTCATCCTTGTCACGCAAATTACCCTAAGATTTACTAGTAAAATGTTGAGGAAAGTCGCCATCTTCACTTTTATTAATGTCACTATGCATAGGAAGGAGTTTCCTGTTTCCAGAATCAAATACAATACAATGATGTCAATTTCCTCGTGCATGGTGCGCTGCCCATGAGTGGCTGTGATCTATTCGTCCTCTCCATTTGTTGGAGGAGGTAAAGTATTACCTGTTTTCATTTTATTTTTATTGAATGTGGTTGTTTTTTATATAAGGGATATCCACTTATTGCCATACAGTGTTGAATGGCCTATTGTGTCCAGTGCTTGTCTTTGAACCTAAATTCCATAAATCAATCAATCAACGAGTGACTGTGGCCCATCCATTACTAATAGGCAAGAGTCCTACACTGCCTTAGATCAAATGCCAGAAGCCACTACCTGTCATGGTTTAGTATGAGGATTAATCTGTTACGATACAGAGGGACGGAGGCTACTGACCTTACACCAGGCTAAACGGTGTTGACGGTCGACTAAAACATCAGGGTTGGCCAGGAGGGTCTTGTTCACTGTTGACCATCGTGTAGGATCTGCATTCAAACTTCCCCTGCCAATCCCCAGCAATATGTAAGCATGGAAAAATATTCAACTTTCTTTTAGAGCATCATGACAGAGTTTAATTTTACCCACTGATGATCAGTGTCAGCAGTACGTACAGTATATCAAAAAATTAAAGGAAAGAATGCCTTGTATAGTTCTGAAATGGTATAGTACTGTACTAAGCTTATCTCTGACCCTGTGATCGTATGGACTGAAGTGTTTTGTATGATACACTGAATTAAGATAAATGCTTGCTTAGGTGTTTGATAGGTTGAGGCTACAGAGGATGATGATGATGATTATGGTAGTAGATGATAGTAGTGGTGGATGATGATGATGATGATGGCAGTAGATTGTGTTTGTGGTGGATGGTGGTAATGGTAATTGAACATGGTAGCAGACTGCAGCAGTGGATGATGAAGGCAAAAACCAGTGGGTACTCACGCATACTGCTGAAGGAGGAAATTGCTATACTTATGGCAGGTGTGGTCCACTAGCTTAGTCCTCTCGGCCATACGCTGCATCATCACCACGACCTGTCAGCAACACCACTGGTTATCTTATATACCTCTATTATGTCTTCCTAAAATACAAACATAAATGAAAAGAACTAAAGCAATAAAACATGTATATTTGTGTTCTATGGATACAATATAATGTTTACTTGTGGATGTATTCTACCTTGAAGTTTCATAATAATTATTTGTATTGTCATTATAGAAATAACAAAATCAAGACAAAAGGATTGGTGAAAGTCATTATTTCTTCGTGGAGGCCATCTATCAGTGGAGCTACTCATAGTGGAGGCCATCTATCAGTGGAGCTACTCATAGTGGAGGCCATCTATCAGTGGAGCTACTCATGGTGGAGGCCATCTATCAGTGGAGCTACTCATAGTGGAGGCCATCTATCAGTGGAGCTACTCATGGTGGAGGCCATCTATCAGTGGAGCTACTCATAGTGGAGGGCCATCTATCAGTGGAGCTACTCATAGTGGAGGCCATCTGTCAGTGGAGCTACTCATAGTGGAGGCCATCTATCAGTGGAGCTACTCATGGTGACATCTATCAGTGGAGCTACTCATAGTGGAGGCCATCTATCAGTGGAGCTACTCATAGTGGGCCATATATCAGTGGACCCACTCATAGTGGGGAGGCCATCTGTCAGTGGAGCTACTCAGAGGAGGCCATCTATCAGTGGAGCTACTCCCTTAGTGGAGCCATCTATCAGTGGAGCTACTCAGAGGAGGCCATCTATCAGTGGAGCTTCTCAGGGAAATACCATCCGTCAGAGGAACCACTCACCAGTAGAGGTCATCCGTCCAGGGGAGTCACTCCTCAGTGAAGGCCATCCATCCAGGGGAGCCACGCTTGCCAGTCTGAAGCCATCCGTCCAGAGCCATTCATCAGTGGAGCCATCCGTCAGGGGCCACTCTAGTGGAGGAGCCATCTGTCCAGGGGGCCACTCATAGTGGAGGCCACCCACGTGGGGGCCACTCGTAGTGGAGGCCATGTGTCCACGGGGCCACTCATCAGTGGAAGCCATCTGTCCAGGGGCCACTCATGGTGGGGACATCCTTCAAGAGGCCACTCTTAGTGACGTTCATCCATCAAAGGGAGCCACTCATAGTGTAGGACAGCCATCCAGAGGCCACTCAGAAGGCCATCCGTCAAAGGCCTAACTCATCGAAGTGGAGCCATCTGTCAGAGGGCCCTCGTAGTGGAGACCCATCTGTCAGAGGCCACTCTGCATAGTGTAGGACATCCGTCAGGGCCACTTTTCGTGAGTGGGGCTTAATAAATTAAGAACCAAGGCCATCCGTCCAGAAGCCACTCATAGTGACATTCATCCATCAAAGGGAGCCACTCATAGTGTAGGACATCCGTCAGAGCCTACTTCAGAAGGCCATCCGTCAAAGAGCCACTCATCAGTAAGAGCCCATCTGTCAGGGGGCCACTTGGTGAGGCCTCCTGTCAGGAGCCACTCATAGTGTGGATATCCGTCAGGGGGGCCACTTTCGTGAGCCATCTGTCAGAGACACTCATAGTGTGGGACATCCGGCAGGAGCCGCTATATTGACGATCCATCCATCAAAGGAGCACTCATGAGTGTAGGACATCCGTCAGGGAGCCACTCATAGTCGGACACATCCGGCAGGGAGCCACTCATGAGTGTAGGATATCCGTCAGAACCCTTAAACGGAGCCAGCTGTCCAGGAGCCACCCATAGTGGGCCATCCATCAAGGTCAGGCCTGTAATGGAGGCCATCCATCAAGGTCGAGCCATTCATCAATGGAGGCCATCCGTCCGCCGGTCGGGGCCACTCATCAATGGAAGACCATCCGTCGAGATAAGGCACTCATCAATGGAGCCCATCCGTCAAGATCCAGACCCACTCATCAATGGAAGACCATCCGTCACGGTCAGGGACACTTTCATCAATGGAGGCCATCCGTCAAGGTCGGGGCCACTCATCAATGGAGGAGCCATCCGTCAAGGGTCCGGAGCCATTCGTCAATGGAGGCCATCAAACTCAAGGTCGGAAGCCACTCATCAATGGAGGCCATCCGTCACGGTCAGGGGCCTCCATCAATGGAGGCCATCCGTCAAGGTCAGGGCCACTCATCAATGGTATCCAAGCGTCCAGGTCTGGGAGCCGTCCGTAATGGAATATCATCTTTGTCAGGGAGCCACTCATCAATGGTGGCAGTCCGTCAAGGTCGGCCACTCATCAATGGAGCCATCAAATGCTGGTCCAGGACACTCATCAATGAGCCCTCCGTCAAGGTCAGGGCCACTCATCAATGGAGGCCATCCGTCAAGGTCTGGGGCCATTCATCAATGGAGCCATCCGTCACGGTCGAGGCCACTCATCAATAGAGGAGCCATCGTCGGGTCCGGAGCCATTCATCAATGGAGGCCATCCGTCCACAGTCGGGGCCACTCATCAATAGTGGCTTGATCCGTCCAGGTCAGGGAGCCACTCATCAATAGGAGGCCATCCGTCCGCGGTCGCAGCCACTCATGTTGACCCATCCATTAAGGTCGGGCCACTCATCAATGGAGGCCATCCGTCAAGGTCTGGGGCCACTCATCAATGGTGGCAGATCCGTCGGAGTCTGGGGCCACTCATCAATAGAGCCATCAATCTGAGTCCGGGGCCCTCACCAATGGTGGCAGTCCGTCAAGGTCTGGGGCCACTCATCAATGGAGGCCATCCGTCACGGTCCGGGGAGCCACTCATCAATAGAGCCATCCATCAGATCGAGCCATTCATCAATGGAGGCCATCCGTCACGGTCGGCCACTCGGCCAATGGGCAATCCGTCGCAAGGTCTGGGGCCACTCATCAATGGTGGCAGTCCGTCAAGGTCGAGGGCCACTCATCAGCTGACCATCCATCAAGATCAGACCATTCATCAATGAAGCCATCCGTCAAAGGTCGGGGCCCACTCATCAATGGAGCCATCCATCAAGATCGAAGACCATTCATCAATGGTAGCGATCCGTCAAGGTCTGGGGCCACTCATCAATGAGTGGCAGTCCGTCAGGTCCGGGGCCACTCATCAATGGGAGGCCATCCGTCAATGTCTGGAGCCACTCATCAATGGAGGCCATCCATCAAATCCGGAGCCATTCATCAATGGAGGCCATCCGTCCTGGGTCAGGGGCCACTCATCAATGGAGCAGTCCGTCAAGGTCTGGGGAGCCCTTTCCATCAGTGGCAGTCCGTCCAGGTCTGGAGCCACTCATCAATGGAGGCCATCCGTCAATGTCTGGAGCCACTCATCAATGGTGGCAGTCAAATCAGGTCAGGCACTCATCAATGGGGGCCATCCGTCCGCGGTCGGAGCCACTCATCAATGGAGGCAGTGCGTCAAGGTCGGAGACCCTCATCAATAGTGGCAGAGTCCGTCAAGGTCGAGGGGCCATTCATCAATGGAGGCCATCCGTCACGGTCTGGGAGCCCTCATCATTGGAATATCCGTCAAAGGCCCAGGGCCACTCATCTATAAGGAGTCCATCGTCAAGGTCTGGGAGCCACTCATCAATGAGTGGCGTGATCCGTCAAGGAGTCCGGGGAGCCCACTCATCAATGGAGGCCATCCGTCACGGTCCGGGGCCACTCATCAATGGAGCCATCCGTCAAAGTCGGGGCCACTCATCAATGGAGAGCCACTCCGTCAAGGTGCGGAGCCATTCATCAATGGAGGCCATCCATCACGGTCCGGGGCCACTCATCAATGGTGGCAGTCCGTCAGAATAAGACCACTCATCAATGGAGGCCATCCATCAAGATCCGGAGCCATTTCATCAATGGGAGGCCATCCGTCACGGTCCGGGCCCACTCATCTGAGTCCATCCAGGTCTGGGGCCACTCATCAAGAGCCATCCGTCAAGGTCTGGGGCCTCATCAATGGTGGCAATCCGTCAGTCGGGCCACTCATCAATGGAGCCATCGTCACGGTCCGGGGCCATCCATCAATGGAGGCCATCCGTCCACGGTCTGGGGCCACTCATCATTGGAGGCCATCCGTCAAGGCTGAGGCCACTCATCTATGGAGTCCATCCGTCAAGGTCTGGGGCCACTCATCAATGGTGGCAGTCCGTCAAGGTCTGGGGCCACTCATCATAGTGGCAGTCCGTCAAGTCGGGGCCACTCATCAATGGAGGCCATCCGTCCGGTCCGGGCCACTCATCAATGGAGCCATCCGTCAAGGTCGGGCCACTCATCAATGGAGGCCATCCGTCAAGAGTGCGGGCCATTCATCAATGGAGGCCATCCGTCAGTCCGGGCCACTCATCGGTGGCAGTCCGTCAGGTCTGGGGCCACTCATCAATGGAGGCCATCCATCAAGATCGAGCCATTCATCAATGGAGCCATCCGTCACGGTCCGGGCCCACTCATCAATGGTGGCAGTCCGTCAAGGTCCGGGCCACTCATCGTAGGCCATCAGTCAGGTCTGGGCCCACTCATCAATAGGCCATCCGTCAAGGTCGAGCCATTCATCAATGGAGGCATCCGTCACGGTCGGGCCACTCATCAATAGGCCATCCGTCAAGGTCTGGGGCCACTCATCTGGGAGTCCATCGTCAAGGTCTGGGGCCACTCATCAATGGAGGCTCATCTGGGTCTGGGCCACTCATCAATGGAGGCCATCGTCAGGTCTGGGGCCACTCATCAATGGATGGAGGCCATCCGTCAGGTCGGGGCCACTCATCAATGGAGGCCATCCGTCAAGGGCCGGGCCACTCATCTATGGAGTCCATCCGTCAAGGTCTGGGGCCACTCATCAATGGAGGCCATCCATCAAGGTCTGGGCCACTCATCAATGGAGGCCATCCGTCAGGGTCTGGGGCCACATCAATGGAGGCCATCGGTCAGGTCGGGGCCACTCATCAATGGTGGCAATCCGTCAGGTCGGGGCCACTCATCAATGGTGGCAGTCCGTCAGGTCCTGGCCATCATGGCCATCGTCAGGTCTGGGGCCACTCATCAATGGAGCCATCGGTCAAGGTCTGGGGCCACTCATCAATGGTGGCAGTCCGTCAAGGTCTGGGGCCACTCATCAATGGTGGCAGTCCGTCAAGGTCCGGGGCCTCATCAATGGAGGCCATCTCAGGTCGCCCTCAATGGTGGCAGTCCGTCAAGTCTGGGGCCACTCATCAATGGTGGCAGTCCGTCAGGTCCGGGCCACTCATCAATGGTGGCCATCCGTCAGGTCTGGGGCCACTCATCAATGGTGGCAGTCCGTCTAGGTCAGGGCCCACTCATCAATGGAGGCCATCCGTCAGGACTGGGGCCACTCATCAATGGAGGCCATCTGTCAAGGTCTGGGGCCACTTATCATTGGAGGCCATCCGTCAAGGCCCAGGGCCACTCATCTATGGAGTCCATCCGTCAAGGTCTGGGGCCACTCATCAATGGAGGCCATCCGTCAAGGTCTGGGGCCACTCATCAATGGAGGCCATCCGTCAAATTCGGGGCCACTCATCAATGGAGGCCATCCATCAAGGCCCAGGGCCACTCATCAATGTAGGCCATCTGTCAAGGTCTGGGGCCACTCATCATTGGAGGCCATCCGTCAAGGCCCAGGGCCACTCATCTATGGAGTCCATCCGTCAAGGTCTGGGGCCACTCATCAATGGAGGCCATCCGTCAAGGTCTGGGGCCACTCATCAATGGAGGCCATCCACCAAGATGCGGGGCCACTCATCAATGGAGGCCATCCATCAAGGCCCAGGGCCACTCATCAATCGAGTCCATCCATCAATGCCACTCATCAATGGAGTCCATCTGTCAAGGTCTGGGGGCCTCAATATTGGTTCTTTTCATTAGAACACTGATTTAGTAAATCTTTAAAATAATTCCCAATGTTTCATACACAAGTAATCAATTTATCTCGTCCTCACAACACGGATATTGATGGTGACTGATGCCTTTTGTCTCACTTTAATCCGCGTCATTCATTTACTACTTCAGGAGAACCCTCAGTTATACTCATCTTAAAGAGAATATTGATGTACTTTATAATCTGTAATGTATTTAATGATTTTCTTCTTCTACTCACCTAATGAAGTTTATATTGTGAGCTACTGGTCTGTAACACCGGGCCAATACAGTACAGTACAGTACAGTACAGTATATAGTACAGTACAGTACAGTACAGTACAGTACTTCTACTGCTGCTGTTGCTGCTGCTACTATAACGCACTGTACCATTTTTAGCGTTATTATTATTATTATTATTATTATTAAGAGTATTTTAATAGTACTGTGCTAATACTTGTACTACTACTATTTTATAGCAGCTACTGCTACTAATATAGTAATTACAATATTAATATTACTATCGTAATACTATCAATTTACTACTTATGTGCTCTTAGTCTCACTGCTAATTTTAATTCTATAACTGTACCAGGACATGCTTTGTAACTATTACTATTATTACCACCACAGACACTACAAACACGACCACTACTTAGTATTAATGCTACAAACCACAACCACAGTACTTCAGTCATCTGGTCCCACTGGAAGACTGTAACACAAATGATAATGGCTCATACACGTCAAACGACATCAAGTGATAAACAGTACGGAAGTACAACTTACCCAGTAGTGGTGGCTGATGATAGAAGCCAGGCTGACGAATGTGAGACTAACGATTACCACTGTCAGGAGGATCACCAACACCGTCTTCACCCTCCACCATACACGTCTGTCGGCAGTCACCACTGTCTGAGATTATTGTGATTTATGCAACTCCCCCCTCCCCCCTCTATTATCCACAAGGCGCTGGAGCTGTTATAAAGGTCTAAATCTGTAAGCCTTGCCTATTATAACCAAACATCTTTAGCCCATATAAGGGCCATACCCAGGCCTCAAATTTGAGCGATGCAATGTTTAAATTACACCCCATTCCACAACCCTGTATTTGTAATCTTTTACTTTTATCCTCTTCGCCACCGATCGGCTCATTAGCCGCTTAGGCGGTCGGTCACTGTTACACACTGTTGGCAGGTACTGGGCATGTACTGGCTCCAGAATGTAACTGTACCTGCTCCAGTGTTGGTCAAGTCTGGTCTTGAATGAGCTCACACTCGGTGCCAACACTTCCTGACAGGTTGTTCCAAGAGTTCACAACTCTCACTCCAAAAAAAGTTTGCCCTCACAGTTTTCTGGACTTGTGGCTTGTTCATCCTTGATTTGTGACCACTTGTGGGGGATTAAGTGTATGTTGACTATGAACTGAAGTTCTCGGGCCATTGTGAGACGGTCAATCAACCAATTAAACTAGTAGATCTTATAAGAAGGTCGTTCAGATATCTAGACGGTCTGCCCCTTGTAACGATCTTCAAGAGTGCGGTGCTTCCTAGTCTGGAGTGCAGTCACCCTGTCTGGTCACCGAGATATACTAGGGACTGTCAGCTGATTGAAAATGTCCAAAGGAGGGCCACCGGACTGGTTCCTGCTTTACAGCACCTCAGCTACTTGAGAGATTAGAACACCTGCAACTGCCTAGCTTATATTACAGACTGGCAAGAGGAGTCCTAATTGAAGTATATAAACATCTCAGAGGGCGCTACTGAGTCGGGTGTGCCTACCTAGAGCTGGCAAACGCCCCCCACCCACAAGGGGTCACAGCTCAAGGTTGAAGAAACCACAAGTCCAGAAAACTAAGAGGGCAAACTTTTTTGGAATGAAAATTGTGAGCTCTTGGAACAACCTGCCAGAGTGTGGTGACGGCACCGAGTGTGAGCTCATTCAATACAAGACTTGACCAACACCGGAGTAGGTTCAGATGCATTCAGGAGCCGGTGCATGCCCAGTACTTGCCAACAGTGCATAACAAAGACGTAACCGACAGCCCAAGCGGCTAGCGAGCCGATCAGTGGCGAAGAGGATAAAATATTGGGGCAGCTAAATGCAAACTTTCGAAGAATCATTCAAATGGTGATACAAGCACCAAATTTGGCATGGTAATTATTTAATGATTACGAAATCAAGTCAGCCTGATTGGCCATTTGAAAATCAAATTGGCATTTTCAAGATAGCCGTCATACTATTCTCAAGTTGATTTTTCTTATAGAGAATTTATGTAGTTGGTCATCTGAGTGATCTTGGTGTCATTATATATGTTTTCAAAAGCATGCTCAGATGATTTTTTATAGTTTAAGTCCATTGTAACATTTTATCATAAAATAACTTTTAGTAAAAATATATAACAAAAAGAACTTACTAAAAAAAAAAGTACTCACTATTAGCACTGGTTCCTGTGACTACTCCTGACAGTACATCTTTGTGCATTTACTGCTGTTCACATATGCAGCTGCAAGTGCTATACTGCGGGAAAGTCCAGAGCAAGCATTTGCATCTCTGTTGCAGTCTTTCTTACAGGAACATTTGGTCAGCTCCTGACAGCATCTTCATAATCGGGGAAAAGTCGTCCAACGTATCTGCCATGCCTCTCCTTCTGCGTCCATCCCCAGTTGACAGGACTGCTGGTTTCTGGATTGGAGATTGTTGCCTGGCCCCAGATGATACCAACCTGGTAGGCATACTTTTGCATGTTCATGAGGGCTGCCTGGGTTGGTGGAGATGGGGTCATATGGTCTCTGCGGAAAGATTTGAAATGCTTGCCTCATCTACACACCAGTGGCTGCACTAGATCTGTCGTACATGAGAACAACAAATCTTTCCAGCGTCTGCAGGTCAACGTCAGCAACTGTTGTTGGACTTTGGCTGAGTTTGGTGAATGTTCTGAAACTTCATCACAGACATTCCATGTCTGCCATGCAGATTCTTTCCTTTCTACAGAGCCAGGCCCCAACATCACAGTCAGTGAAAGCATGGCAGGATCACAGCTTTCTTAGGCCCTATCCTTAGAAACTACATCATGAACTGGAATCCATCAATGACTGGCTCCTTGGCCAAAGGCAATCCACATGTTATCAAGACCAAGTTCCTGTAGTGTAGTGTAGTGTAGTGATGGCAGTACACAAATATTGGTGTGTCTGCTTCCTCATGACAGCATGGAGCCACAGCTTCTAGGAACTTCTCTGTGTTTGTAATGTCATCTTCTCTCCCTTCCATCCACCTTACCGTGCATGTCGTCTGTTACGTGAGCCAACATCCTTCTCAAAGGCTTCAGTGGGATCTCTTCCTTGGTGATGAGCTTGCAGCTGGGGGATGTGAAAAACGCTAGTCCTTCAGTCGAGTAGCATGAACATCCGGGCGATCCAACACCCAGCTGCTCAAGTCTCTGTCTGTAGAGTGTGACCAAGGTCAGCAGAATCTGAAAATGGGTGGTTCAGTACCATCACTAGAAGCTTTCATCTGAGTGATGCGTGACCAGTTCAGAAAGCAGTGGGTATGGCGTTGTTCGGATAAGCTCCTGTGCTTCTTCTCGCTCATAAGAACATTACGGTGTGTTGCTTTCTCCGGTTGTACAGTTCTGCCAGGCAGCGGGTGATACATCAGTGTGCCCACAACATCTCCTGCACTTGGATTTGGCAAGAGTTTCCATCATAAGAATGTCTTCACACAATCCATTCAATCTTTTATTAAGTTTCATTGTCATTGCATGTCTTATGTCATCTCCGAAGCTTCTTCCTCACATAGAAAGCATTCTGTTGCTTTGGGGTCTCTGACCATTCGTGGTATCTTGCTACTGCTGTTCTCCTCTGCTTGCTTCTTGGGGTTCGCCTTTTCTGAGCTCTATTTAACTTTGTGTTGTTGAACCTTGAAGTCTGTAACTCTTATGATACTGTGCCTTGTTTCTCCTCAAGGTCTCCTCTATCCCATCATCTTCAACAAGTCTTGCAGGAGTCAAGCTTGACTTGGCAGTCACATTGATTGAATAGAGAAATAAAGAATATTCATGACAAGCCGTGACAAATATCTCCTTTTTTGTGAGATTTACATGTGGAGACTTAGATCTTCCTTCTTATCCTGTTGACAAAAGACAACACTTTGCCCAGTCAGTGAGAATGATTTGTTGGTAGATTTTGTCCATAACTATTTTTTGATCTTCAGGGCCGAGGTTTATCCTTTTACCACCTGATGAACACTTTCTTGTAGCATATATGGATATAATAGGATTCATACCTTTTCACCTGGTCCCGATCGTTCATCCAGTGTCATTAGTCCGTGCGATCTGTACACCATCCAGATAACTAAAAACCGTTAGCATCATGGCTCGGCTCTCCGCTGACACATCATGTCAAGAGATTCAGGTGCGGCTGCTAAACTGAGGATTTGGGTTGGTTAAAGCAGCATTTGAGACACTAAGCTGTTGCAGTATGACATGCTTTTTCTTAATGACACTGAACCCCATGCTGGGTTGCTGGTGATGTCTCCGAGTGTGCCCTGGTAGTGTGACAATCACTCCTCACACGCAGGGCCTCTGCATGCTACCCCTCACCTAGTTGAAAAACATAAATCCATTTTTATAAAACCAGTCATAAATAAGACAAATATGTATCTGAGAGTATCAGAAATAGAAAAAATCATCTGAGCATGCTTGAAAACATGCATATCGACTATAAGATCATTTGCATTGACCAACTACAGTACATCAATTTCTATAAAAAAAAATCTTCTTTCGAAGGTCAATTTGGCAGCCATCTTGAAAAATGGCCGCCATCTTGGATTTCCAAATGGCCAATCAGGCAGATTTGACAAGTAGTCCCTAGGGTTTGATCATGACAAATTTCATGCTTGTATCACCATTTGCACGATTTTTCCATTATCCGCTCTACTAAAAGTAATTTGTAAAAGTAATATACATATTAACTTAGATATTACGTTGATATTACTAATTATACTACATCTGTCTCTATGTTACCCTCATTCATGACCACACTTACCTGTATTTAATGAAGAGCATTTTGATCTGAACTGAAGTACCAGTATTAATGGGCGGACTCCTCCCACTGACGCTATCTTTTAAATGGTCGTGTCATTATTAACATGTGAGACTTTTTATCGTTTTTATTTTCAAAATTGTTCGCAACACCGCTTATATTTGTACACTCATCAAACAGTTGCCCGCGCTTTCAACGACATACTGTAGAGGACGTGTAGCAGTGAGGTGGGCAGTCTGTGCAGATGAGAAACGCTTTAATTTACTGTATATACACAAAGCTCGCACATGTGTTCGGAAACGCTCACTCAGGTGGACTGTAGAGCTGCATCAGCATTATCAACACTACTGTATGTGTGCATCTAGTGCTTACATATCCATACCCGTTAATTATCCTTATGTGTGTGTGTGTGTGTGTGTGTGTGTTGGATAAGTAAACACTAGATGCACACATATATAAGAATACTGATAGTTGATATTTTTTCCCAATAAATAATAATCGAATTTAAAAGTGGTGGAAGGAAGTTAACTTTGTAAGTAAAGTGAAAACAAAATCAGAGGATGTAATCAGTATCTGCACAATAGTTACAATAATTATCAATAATATTATTTTCAGTCTGCCGTCTTTCATTCAATATACAGTACTGTATATATTTTAAGATAGTTTCATGTAACGAAAGGTCTGTTGTGTGGGAACATGAGTAGCGTCTCAGTTCCTTACTTACCTTATTTATTTGGATTACCTGAAGGTTATCTCCCAGTTTATACCACATTAAGATTAACCACACTTGTATTAACATAACCTTTACTAACGCATAAAGCATTGCGTGTTTTTCCTTATGAATCCCTTTCTATCATATTGTCACAGTGTATTTGTTTTGCTTTAGTATAACACTTGATGCAAGTGTATTATCAGATGCGATCTTCGTACTTAATACATGCTTGTTGAGTCATTATTGACGTTGCGTGTTTAGGGACCTTATAGCCAAGGTGTATGGCAGTAAAGTATGGGTGGATAAATCAAATAATTGTGGACACTATTATGTGATACACTGGTGGCGTTTTGATTGACAAACTGTCAGTAAACACGACTTACCATAATCGGGATCCGGGGAATACAGTTTTCACAGGGTAGGGGGTTGGGGTTAGGCTGGGGAGTTGGTGCTCGCAGCTTCCCCATAGCGGTGGATCATGATGAAACAAAGGGTGTGTGTATATGTACCTCCCTGTTTTAAGTACTCCCTACTAGGACCTGCCCACCATCTTTCACTGTCCAAAATGGTAGTACAGTATACGTCCATCGATATTACCGCTGTGTTCTTAATACTTGACAAACTTTATAGTGTTTTCGTTTTATCATCTTAAATATCTCCATCATTACGACAGTTAAAAGGACACAAGAAAAAAAATAGTGTTACTTAAGGTTAACTAGTGTTTGGCGATGACTTAAGCGGCCAAGTCATTAAGACGAACCCAATGACAGCCTCATCTTGCATTTATACAATTAATACGAAAAGCAAAATTTGAGATGGCTGTACAAGACCCTGTAGAGTTGGTCCACATTTACATTTGGCTAGTGTAGTATGACATCCCTACAGGGTGAAAGGGTTGACGCAGCAGAAAGTGTTGGGAGACGATAGCCAAGCTGGGACCCGGGCTGTAGATTTGGAGATAATTATGTAGACAATGCGGAAAAGGTGAAGCTGCCGACAATGGTGAGCCAGAGAACATGTGAGCATAATGATGGAGACGTTTAACATGACACAAGGAATACTTCTTAACTCTTCATGTAACTCTTTAATCATTCATGTCAAGATTCCCACCAGCTGAATATTTGTATGTGTGCCAAGAGCCTAGAAGCCCCATTATTATAAGTACATTGAAATACTAACTAATGGTATTGTAAGGTACTTTTCCCGATATAGATTTTTTTTTCTTTTTATCCTCTTCGCCACTGATCGAGCCGCTTGGGCGGTCGGTCACATCTCTGTTACGTACTGTTGGCAATTACTGGGCATGCACCAGCTCCTGAATGTACCTGAACCTGCTCCAGTGTTGGTCAAGTCTGGTCTTGAAAGAACTCACACTTGGTGCCGTCACAACACTTTCTGGCAGGTTGTTCCAAGAATTCACAACTCTCATTCCGAAAAATTTTGCTCTCACAGTTTTCTGGACTTGTGGCTTCTTCAACCTTGAGCTGTGACCCCTTGTGGGGTGGGCATTATATATAAACTTAAAACGTTTGGTAAACCCTAAACACTGATATATAAAGTTCTAGTAGGAAAAATGCAAACATAGAAATTATGTTTATTTTTCTTTATTGTCCCACACTTTACAAAATGTAAGAGAGTGAGATTACCGAGGAAGATGTGAGATTAGAACAAGTCAGCGTCAACAAGGCTGCATTGTGTTGACGAGTGAACTGTGTGGTAGTTGTCTCGCCATCAACATCCTAGTGTTGTATGTCCTTCCACACACTATAATTATTATCTTGGTATGGTTATAAACTTATAAATCTTCATATCTACTTTGTGCCTTTTGTTAACAATCTCTCTGTGGTTTAATGTGTACGTTTTCAATACTGTAGAATACAAGTACAGTCTTGGCCTCTGGTGCTTATACAGTATATTCATCTCATAATTTTCCCCTTAACTGAGTTTATGAGAACCATCTAAGTGGCTGACTTAAGAAACAACTAAAAGGAGGTGGCCAAACGGGAATTTATATTTCACCAGATGAGTTATGAGTTGTCTTATTCTTAGTTAGGGGAAAAATAAATTTAGAGTGAGACACAGAGGGCCAGCTAGGGTGGAGGATATGGAGTCTGGAGCAGCGTCTTACAGCCAGTTGGTTGTGGGGTTGGGTCTTACAGCCAGTTGGTTGTGGGGTTGGGTCTTACAGCCAGTTGGTTGTGGGGTTGGGTCTTACAGCCAGTTGGTTCTGGGGTTGGGTCTTACAGCCAGTTGGTTCTGGGGTTGGGTCTTACAGCCAGTTGGTTGTGGGGTTGGGTCTTACAGCCAGTTGGTTCTGGGGTTTGGTCGTTGGAAGCCGCGGTAGTGGAAGCGTGGTGGCTGCACCCACCCTTGGTCCTGTAGGTCCGTCGCCCTGTCCAGAAGCACGTCAGGTTCAGGCAGGCTGCTCACCGGGGCCAGCAGGGCAGCCATCACCAGCACGAGCATGCTAACCTGTACATACACACAAACATGAGAAGTGATGCTTAATGCCTTAATGCACGTGTAGGCTCTATGGATCACTTCGATTAATATCCACCAACAGAATAGCACCTGTACAGCTGTTGACAACTATACCCGCAGTTAATTCGAATGTTTAATCCACCTAAAATTCTGTTTATATCTTATCTGGTATGATGTACTGTAATGCTTTATGCCTAACATATTTACTGATACAATTTCTTCTGTAGCTATATTGGATTTTTCGTGCAGTTTTGACAATATGTTGTGAAATTTACTAAATATAGCAGGTTGCTTGTTATTGTTTGGGGGTTGTAATAAAGGAACTTTTTACCGAGTCTCAGGTACAGTACATTAGTTAAAATGCAACAGGTAAACGAACCAAGAACCACAAACATTATTGAAGCACTGAAACAGGTGTTGACTGGTGTGTGTGTGTGTGTGTGTGTGTGTGTGTGTGTGTGTGTGTGTGTGTGTGTGTGTGTGTGTGTGTCTTACAATGATCGTAATAAACACTATTAGTTTTTATGACATTATTTTGGAGGCACACACAGGAGATAGGACACATAGAAGAGAGATAGGAAAGACAAAAAAAAAGAGAAGAGACGTCGAGAGGAAGATAAGAGAGACAGAGAAGGATATAAAACACACAGAAAGGGAGATAAAGAGAACTAAAGTCATGTACGTCATAGTAAAAATAATAACAATAATAACTCACGAGGTTCATGGCGGTTTCTCCTGATGTGGGGACGAGTTTGGGGCGAGGAGCGATTGAGTTGTGGCATGCTGACTGACCCTCACCTCCCATTATATTCCCGCCAGGACCTCCCTTCCCTCCCTCCCACAGCACGGTGAGCCGCAGGAGACGCAGCCAGGGGATGCAGGATGACCCCCTCCCCCCAGATACCACCACCACCACCACTCTCTCCTCATGTGTTACCACTAGAGTCGTCCTTCTTCACCTCCTTCCCCCTAATCCTCACCCCCTTCACCACCGACCTCCTAACACACCCTCTGTCACCCAGTGCTAATTAGAATATCAATATCAACAATGTTCTAATGACTAGGTAGCAACGTGTAGGATATTTTGCCTGTGGAGGGGAGAGACGCGGTAAGGTGAGGTGGGGCGGGACAGGGTGAGGTGGGGCGGGGCAGGGTGGGATGAGGTGGGGTAGAGGACCATCAAGGGGAACGTGGACGTAATCTGCTTGTGGTAGGCATGATCCCCCCCAGATGATCAGGCGGCCACTGTTGACCCGCCGCGGGCCAGCTGTGGACACGGACTCTGACACACGTACTCCCCTCACAATCCCAAACGCAGCACCAAAAGAGGATTTCTGTACCGAGAGACGAAACGGCTTGTTGATAGCTGGCTGGCTGGCTCTGACGGACGGCACCCCAAAGGCAGTCTCCATTGGATACCTCAAAATCAGTACAAAAACATAAATAAAAACACTTCCCTCCTTACCGTTTCATTATAGCTCCTCTCCGCCTTTATTTTATCTATCAAGAACACTGAAAAGAATTAAGATGATAAGAAAGTAAACAGAGCTAGGTAGAAGAATTAAAATGGCTCTTGGTGGGTGTAATTAAGGAGATATTTTTGGATAACTTGAGTGAGATACAGTACATACGGCTTTTGTTCTTTTAATGAGTATTTTCTTAGATATTGTCATAACTCACACACACACACACACACACACACACACTACTACTACTACTACTACTACTACTACTACTACTACTACTACTACCTTTTTTTTTCTTTTTTTTTTGTAACGTGGCCTCCAGCCTCCCCCAATAGCCACACCTTCGCCACCATTTAATTACCTTAATATTAAATATCCTAATACATAAGTAGCTATCCTATCTGTGTTAAATTAGTTGAGCTGCAGATCTAAGCGGCATTCAGTGACAGTAGCCTCATAGTCAATATCTGCAGCAGTTGTCGGAGTTGGGGCAGAAGCTCTCGTTCCCCTGAGGCAGAGCAAAGCCGACCGAAGGAGAGAGAAAGACAGTCGACATCTCATCCAGGCTGTAACATAACTTCTGGGCTGCTGCTTCTGTTCGGAGATCACCTCCGCGAGTCTGGCGTAGAAACATCTTGCACTTGGTCCCATCCCACCAGAGGTTATGAACACTAGAGGAGTGAAGCTGCCCTGATCAACGTTTTGAATTCTCTCTCCATATACCCTTCTCTTGTCGTTCTCGTTCCTCCTATGTGCAGCATCAAGAGCTAGGTTACGGTGACATGCGGCCATGGGATCAAAAATCCTGATGTCGAAGAAAGCTCGCTGTCCCCGCGTCCAGAATCCTCGAGCACTGACATCCACACGGGCTTCGTTAGATGTGTTTGAAGTCCTGTGTTGGAAGATCTCACCATCCAATGGAAGGAGGGTTGGTTCTACCATAACATCCCGGCAGATTTCCTTCAACATATTTACTGTGAGGTCCCTTACCTCGTCATGCCTCATGCATATGAAGCCCCCCTTCTTGCACACCATGGCGTGATCGCCATCATAGGAAGAGCCACACATGCATTGGGAGGGCAAACCTTCTACTGGCCGACCGTACCTTAGAGCAAAGGCATCTGTAAATTCTTGTTTATTAAGACTGAAACCATTTGCCCTTACCGGTAACGTAGTTAACCAGTTCGAGGCGCCCACCTCCTGCGCTATCGCTACTTTTTTTTCAAATTTTCTGGTACCTGCAGCAACAGTTGCTGCAACTTATCATTTTGGCAGTGCTGTCGATCTGTCGTAATGGACCTACGAATCTTATTTACTTCACTGGTATCCACTTCCTTTGTTGCATTCTGGGCTATTATGTGGTCCGTGAGGGCTGCCGTGAGCTTAAGTGAATTTTGATGTTCAGTGGCAGCAATCTCCTCTGGATTTCTTAGTCCCATCCCTCCCAGTCTTGATGGAAGTGCAAGAAGTGCTCTTTCTGCTGGGGTTAAGTCAGGGTGTTTCACTAATTTAGGAATGAAAATGTCACTGATAACTTCTTCCAGAGGGTGGAGGAGGGGTCCGATATCAGGGATAGTACGCATCAGGTAGTTCCAACGATGCTTGACTCCACTCAATCATCCAGCTATGATACAATGATATGAGTTATTAAGGATGTCACCTAGGTTGGAGAGTTCTGAGGTGACTATAGAGGCTGAAACGGGACCGGCAGAGTCGATCACAGATGTTGGGCATGTGGGGGTCTACATCTAGTGCGGGAGGGGCGGTGGCAGCGTCTTTCCGGCGTTGGCGCTTGTCTGCCTCGTTATGCAATCGGGTTAACTCAAAAGCATTGACACCTTCTTGTGTGGTGATCCTCCAAGCGTTACGATGTGGAGTAATCATCTCCCAGGTGAGGGGGTCGATTTGGCACTTTTTCAGGTTTGTCTTAAGACTATCCTTATACCTTTACAGTTGCCCGCCAGCGTTACGTTTTCTATTCGTTAGGTAACTGTAAAGTAGCTGCTTTGGCAGTCTACTGTCGTCCATGCGGGTAACATGGCCAGTCCAGCGTAGTTGTTCATGGATAATTTTAGCCTCGATGCTTCTACAGTTGGTGTCAGCAAGAATACTGGCATTTGTTCTCTTGTCTTTCCAGCGAACTCGGAGGATGGAACATAGACTATGTTGGTGAAAGTTTTCAAGTGCCTTGAGGTGCCTCCTATATGTGACCAATGTCTCGCTGCCATATAGCAGGGTGGGGAGGACCACTGCTCGATATACATGTAACTTTGTAGATAATTTCAGCTCCCCACAGCTGAAGACACGGTTTTGGAGTCTGCCAAAGGCTTGAGATGCACATCTGATCCGATGCTGAATCTCTTCATCACCATCATCAATATTTATAAGAACAAGGGAGACCAGTCAGACTGTGGAAACTACCGCTGAATCTCGCTGCTGTCCGTAGCTGGCAAGATTATCCCCCGAGTCCTCCTAAACAGACTTCTTCCTGAGGCAGAAAACTTCCTCCCAGAATCTTAATGTGGCTTTAGACCTTCACGTGGCACCACTGGCATGATCTTTGCTGCCTGCCAGATGCAGGAAAAGTGCAGAGAACAATGTCGTGACCTGTACATGGCTTTCATCGACCTAACCAAGGCCTTCGACTCCGTCAACAAGGAAGGCCTCTGGTGGACCCTCAGCCGTTTTGGCTGCCCACTAAAATTCATCGCCATTGTGAGGCAACTCCACGATGGCATGAACGGCAGTGTCCTGCACAATGGCACCCAGTCTGAGTTCTTCCCCATTCAAATGGGGGTAAAACAAGGATGTGTACTGGCACTAACTCTCTTTTCCATTTTCTTGGCTGCCTTCCTTACTCGTGTCAGTGCCAATTTAGCCGGTGGGGGTGGACATAGAGTATCGGGTGAAGGGTCTTTTCAACATAAGACGACTCCAGACAGGAACAAAGGTGTCGGCAGCTTCCATTACTGAACTTCAGTATACAGACGACCTCACCCTTGTTGCTCACACTGAACACGACCTACAGGAGAGCCTGAACACATATGCAGAGGCGTATGCACACTTCGGCCTTGAGGTGAATGTACGTAAGACTTAGATTCTCTTTCAACCTGCCCCTGGTTCAGCCACACCTCCAGCATCCATCCAGCTTAACGGTACTGCCCTCTCTAATGTTACCCACTTTCGGTATCTCGGCTCCCACCTGTCCACCACCGCGGAACCACACACACACACACACACTGTCGCAAGACCAATTATATTCTTTCATAATTTTAATGTGTTATGATTGTGTATTTCACGTTGTTGTTGTTGTTGAGATATAACCGACTCCGCCTCCCCCCTTAACAACGTCATCAGCGGTGTTCCTATAATGTTGTGTTACCAGGACCAGTAGTTACTAATTTAGTTACGTAAAACAGTGCCGGAGGTGCCATGAGAATGAATCAGCTGCCTCATGGTCTCCATACTATAGGGGCCTCTACAGTGTTGTTTTTCATCCTAATAGCATACTTTGATCCTATGTAATGTAAATAATATATACATATATTATATACTATATATCTCTTACACTAAATAGGTAAAATATTTGGAAGTTGCCAAGCACGGAATTCTATATTGATTTATATATAGGGAGATAGAGCAAAAGTAAGAGACCCGACACATTACAGAGGGGAGCAAACACCCAAGCCACTAGACCTTATCATAACAAACGAGGAGGGTATGGTGGCCAAACTGGAACACCTTGCCCCAGTTGGCACCAGTCACCATACAGTGTTGTCATTCAGATTTAACTGTTACCTAGTTCAGGATAAGGCCAGGCCAAGGTGCAAATATTGCAAGGGAAATTACAACGGGATGAGGGAAGAGATGAGGGGTACCAACTGGCCTGACTCATTGAGGCACAAGAACGCAGACACTACGCTGAATATCATAACTAGTAAAGTGACCCATTTGATCGATAAATATATACCCAAGACCAAACCCAGTGCCTCTAGGAGTATGAGGGGATCCCTACACATGAACTATGCGGCGATCGACAAAGTTAAGAAGAAAACCCAGAAATTCAAGACGTGGGTTGGGTCAAACGATAAGCAGTGAGCTCTTTCAAGACAAGACTTCACCAACACTGGGGCGGGTTCAGGTACATTCAGGAGCCGGTGCATGCCCAGTACTTGCCAACAGTGCGTACCAGAGACGTGACCGATCGCACAAGCGGCTAACGAGCCGATCTTTTGGTGAAGAGGATAAAAGAAAAGGAAAAGTAATCAGAGACGTAACCGAAAGCCCAAGCGGCTAACGAGCCTATCAGTGGTGAAGAGGATAAAAGTAAA